ACCAGAAGTGAGTTTTGAGAGTGCTTCTACTTTGCTTGTGCAAATGTGTCATCACTTCCTGCCCTGGGTGTTCATGTCCCAATCCACAGTTTGAAAACTCCTGATGTGGTCCATAGGAATATAAGCTATCATAAAGTCTGTTAGTCTTGAAGTTATCACAAGATCCAGTCCTTTTGGCAGCATAGACTAAGATAGATGCTCCTCTGGAAATAGTTGAAAAGCACAACATGAGGATTTAGAAGTTCCCCTGTATTTTGAACAGAATCATCTGGATGTCCATAATACTACCGAATTTAGGAAGAAAGCAGAATATTTTGAAGGTGTCCCCAGTATAAGCATAGACATTAAGTGAAATTTTCAAAAAAAACCTTCAAAGTCACTCTCAGTCAAGGCCTTCATATAACCTTATGACACACCTCTAGAATGACAAATTTCTCAGAAAAGTTGACTCATAACCCCTTTAAAGCTGTTTAACTGTAAGCTTTCACTGCATTAAGTTCCAGTCCTTCCATCCTGACTTATATCATACGTTCTTCACGGTCTCTGACTGCTGTGGACTGCTGCGTACATATTTTTTCTTCTGTCAAGATTCTACGAGATGGGTGAGAGCTGCTTATCTGAACATCTGCCCTGCTACCTTGCACAATTTCCTCTTTGTCTTTCCCTTGATTGGAAGGGGTAGTAGCCTCTGCCACCCACACAGGATGTGGGGGAAGTTAGTGGGAGGGCCAACTCCTCTGCACACGCCCCTGAACCGCACAGCTGGCGCTGACAGTAAGTACCGGACTGTGGGGGTATCGGTGCTTCCTAGAAAACTTCTGAAGTCCTGAAGACTTGAGGTAGGATAAAAGGGGTCACCTCTGAGAGGTGGATTTTAGAAGAAGACATAATCAAAATTGAGACAAAGTGAGGAAGAGGAAGAAACTCTCTGGACCACTAGCAATATTCTTTCAGACTTCTGCCATGAAGCAACCCGTTTTCAACTTCCTCTTGAGCAATGAACATAGACAAGCAGGCAGAAGGAGCCACAGCTGTGACTAAGCTAGAGAGGGCACTGTGTAGATAGGCATTAGCAGGGAATCTGTATGGAGTTGGGTGGAGCTGGGAAGAATTGGCTGGAGCTATATGCATCTGTCAGTGGGGTTATATGGAAATTGTTTACATGGGTAGAGGGTGAAACAGCTGTGGCCCAGCCTAAGAAAAGACCCACAGCTGCCGTGTTCTTCCTATTTAGACAAGAGTAGATAGAAGGAAATTTGATCATTATGTATCTTTGTTTATCTGTCCACCATCCATCCATCCATCCACCCATCCATGAAAAGTTTAAATTGTTCCACTCTGGCTGGACTCTGGATGGTGTTTATTCATTCTTACATAGTTATTTGGAATAATATGTCCCTGTTCCATAATTGAAAAGTGACCCAATTCTATCCTCAAAATAATAGACTGTAGACAACATGAGGAAATGATGGACCTCATTCTGTAGGGGGATAGAATTTAGGTCTTCCTGATCAAAATCCAACATTGTACCCCAACCAACTTTTAGGTTGTACCTTCTAGATGTAGTGGATTTCGGTTGCCACATTTCCCAGTAAAGTTATTTGGGGATTTAAAGTTTAAAAAATAATAGCAAAGAGCAAGTTTCCTTATATTTTTATATCCTTACAATCTCTTAAGCAGGAGTAGCTTCTTGCCATCTTAGGGTGCCTCCTTTTGTCTATTTGTGCACTGTTGACCCTCTCTCTGGTTATCCCAATGACTATTTTGGAGAAGGGCTCAAACCAACTATATCTATCTCTTCCTAAGACATCTATGGCACTTATTTTGCTTTGTTTACTTCCTGATGGGAATGTTGAAGGCTTTTAATATCAGTAGTGCCTTCAACTTCTTTAGGCAAAACATGAAGATGCTAATTATTATCATACAAAGCCATAATTGACTGCAATGGCACAAACAAGCTATTCTATGCAGTTGATCATTCACTGTACATTAGGATTCCTTTGAATTCTAGAAATTTTTATTTGTATTTATTTCCTGAATTTATAGACTCCTGATTCCAACAGTTTTACAGCAATTTACAAATAATAAAACTTTGTAAAACCCAGTATCTGGCTTAATTTTTAGGGCTCAAGTACTGATTCTAAAATGCTACTAAAAGCAATAGGTGCCAAATATCAGTTTGGCTCTAACCTGCAATAGCTCCTGGTGGAAGGTAAATGTTTAACTCTTTTGTCACATTGTGCTGTGACGGTGCAAATGCAGTGAGATACACATATTTCATAAATGTTCTGTGCATACCTAAAAACATACCTTATGTCTGGCCATGAGAACAAACTTGGAAAGTAACTGTGATCTCTAAATCAGTAATCCTAATCTTCTCTCATCTGGTGGCATCCATTTTGATTGCCAACCTGTGATATAGGACCGTTTATTTATTTATTCATTTAAACATTCTGCTCTGCACAAAAACAATTGAAACAATAAGTGACCATGGCTGCATTAAAAAAACAGTGCTAAATAGGATAGGCTTAGAACTTGGATGAATTGATCAGCAGGATTAAAGAATTATAACTTGATTCTTTTAACGGTTTGGACTCCCACTCCCTCCTATTTGAATAATCAAATGTTTTGATGACCAAGGTAATCTACTCAGTTTATTCTGAAGCTCAAATGGCTCACTGTCTTTATGAGACCCACCATAAAATTCCATAAATCCCTGAAATATCATTAATCCTTCCTTGTAACATGCAGAGAGGGGAAGTCTGGCTCTTTGTTATGTAAAAGTCATTTTTACATAGATGTAGCTGATTTTGATAGAAAAGGATCTTAAAACATCTTCACTTCCCCCTGGAGAAAATACCTCTCAATTTAGCCTTCTGTTCTGCTTTCTAGAGAGGAACCAGTGGCTCAATCTTGGGAGATTAAAAAGAAAGTAATGATGAAGGCCGAAACCAGGGCTCTTCCCCACCCTGCATAAAGTGGTTTGTGGTAACCATATGCCATTTGATTGGCATATTGGCAAGAGGCCACACCTGAAAGCGCTATGATGCTGGGCCAGGAAAATAGCTTAGGAAATGCAGGAAGAGCTTGATTAGGTCTCCAGAGATTGCAGAGTATGGAGGATGACTGTAATTTTGCCTGCAGTGCTTCAGGGGTTGGGGAGTGGGTGAAGGCCACTGAGGAAATCCTTACCCTCCATTGGTGCTGACTCTTTGACATATTGAAAAAAGCATTCTTTCTCCTCTTCATGAGGAGCATTGGGAGAGCAAAATCTTATTGGCCAGCCGGAAACTGCCAGAACAGGCAGTCAAGATGGCAAGAGGAATTAACAGTCGTAAAAGCCCCTAGAAACTCTGGTCTCACAAAGTTCTGCTCTCTCTCATGCTGACACGAGGCCATCTCTGAAAGTGCTCGTGCATGGTCGGACTAGGATGGTGAAAAAGTTTAGGCTTGGCAGGTCAAAAATTCAGAAAATGCCTAACATGACATGCTGACCAGGGAATTCTGGGTATTGAAGCCCACACATTTTAAAGCTGCCAAGTTTGAAACACAGGCCTACACTTTTATATGTTAAGTCCTTCTATATGCTAAGTCCTATGAGGTCTTCTCATAGTGATGTGTTTTAAGCCAGGATATTGTCTGGCTGCTGTTGTAGAAGAATTAGCTGAAATTGTGTGTCATCGCCATCGATTCCTATACTCTTCAGGGAGGTTTCTTCCTTGTGCCCCTCTGAGCACATATAAGAATAACAGTAGCACTTAGACTTATATACTGCTCCATAGTACTTTACAACCCCCTCTAAAGTGTTTACGGAGTCAGCCTATTGCCCCCAACAATCTGGGTCCTCATTTTACCAACCTCGGAAGGATAGAAGGCTGAGACAACCTTGAGCTGGTCAGGATCGAACTGCTGGCAGTCGGCAGAATTAGCCTGCAATACCACATTCTAACCACTGCGCCACCTCAGCTCTCATATCAGGGAAACCCCAGAGATTTTCCATATGCAACTCCATCATGTATTGACTCTAGGCAGTAAACAGTCTACCTTTGAATTTGTAAACAGAGTAGACAGTTTCATATTTGCTCATTGAAAATATAATTTTGATATGCTTTTTAATATTTTTGCCATATGCTAATGTAAAAATAAAAGAAACCGGTCTAGAGGTTGGACAAGCAATACAACAGCACATATCTTCTCAGACCACAAGGAGAGCAAGCCCCCAAGATTCCCTCAGTGGGGTGGCTGATGGAAGAACTGGAGGATAGTGGATGTGGAAGTATATTGCACTGGGCGACAACCCCTAGAAAAGAACAAGGAAGGCTAGTGTATCCATTAGGCAAGTCAGACACTAGAGAAAAGATACTCAAGAAAGGTATTTCCCCATCCCTAAAATGAAGCTCTTTCCAGAACAGAATTATACATGGTTCCAACTATGGGGAGGAGAGAGCCAGTTGCTGGCACTTAGAGAAATCCATCCGTTAGCTCCTATTCATCCACATCACTTGCCTATTTTCAAATGAGAGAAAGGAACGAGAAGGCTACAGTCTCTTCTTGTTTAGGAAAAGAGAGAAGATTAAGAGTAACTAAGGGGTCCAAGGATCAAGAAGAGAATTACTTTACTGCCTTGTACTGATCGTTACACGTTATTCTTCTCATTCTGCATACCTTACTAATTGAAAGTTCTTGTCCTCACAGTGTAATGTATTGATTTACTGTATTTGTTAGAGGTATTTCTTTTAAATCCCACCATTTGTTCAGGCACAAGTCAGTGTACATAGTGCTCCTTCCTCCCATTTTTGCTCACAACAACCTTGTGAAGTAGATTGGCCCGAGAGATAGTTACTGAGTTAATGAAGTTTCTTCCATGGGACAGGAAGAGATCCTAAGCCTCCACATTCTGAGTAAAAGTGGTAGAGTTAATCCTTTCCTACCAGGTCCCTTTTCCAGTGATGAAAGCAGTATGTTAAGTCCAACTCTCATTTCCTGCTTCTTTCTAGCAGATGTTGGATGATACTCCTCCGCCTCTCTTGGGGGAGAAGCCTCCAATTTATTACAATCTGGAGGAGATGAAGCAGTTACCAGCGACACCTCCTACCCCACGCAGCCCACCATTACAGATGCTGGAAGCCTGGGAACATCACATAGATTCCAACTCCCTGCGTAGTTTCTACTATAAGCCTACAACAGGTGAAAAGTCATGGAAGCCACCCAGGAGGAGCCAAGAGATGGTGAGAAGCTAGAATTGCTGGGGGACATCCATGCTACTTAGCCTCAGCAATCCAATCCTTACTTTTGATTGGTTTGTGTCTTTACCCAAGAAGTGTTTTAGCTGGCAAATGCTGAGCTGATTTAGAGGTAGTCCTTGACTTAAATAGGTCACTTAGTGACTGTTCAAAGTTCTGTCAGACCCTGAAAAAGCTACTATGGCCTAGACTCAGAATTACGATGTTTGGATCCCCTGTGGCCTCATGATGGCATTATGGTTGCTTGGCAACCAGCCCACACTTATAGCCATTTGCAGCATCCCGTGGAAATGTGACTGAGTTAGAACATTTTTTCCAGAAACTGGTGTTTATTTCCACCAAAAAACCCTATATCAAACAATGGGTTCACTTAACAACAGGCACAGTCCCATGGTGATCTGCTTTACAAAGGTCACGACTTACAACCAAAATTGTGGGCTCAATTGCAATCGTAAGTCAAGGATTTCCTGTACACTTTCAACCAAATGACTTTTCACTTGCTGGTCTCTGTTTTGAGGATGTGGTTTGATCCAAATGAGCTAAAGAATATTTAAAAAGTTATAGGAGGGAGAAAATCTTGCATCTAGAGTAACCCAGACAATAATTTCCTTCTCTCCAGTACACCTTTCTATTCTTTCTGCTTTCTGCTTGATTTCCTTCCATCTCCATGAAGCAATCGATGTTCTGTGGCAGTGGAATGCAATCATTTCAGTTGGATTCATCTAGCTTATTTGCTTATTTATTTAGCTTTATATCTTGCTCTAATTGGGAGAGCTCAGTAAAAGCAGCTTCCAGGGTGATTTCCTTTCATTTTGTCCTCACAGCAGCGACTCTGTGAGGAGTGTAGGATTCAATGGCCCAGGGACTTTTCTGTACCTGAAAATGAATGTAAACTTGGATATGCCCATCTTAATCCAATAGCCATTGAATCACACTGACTTTTAGTGGAAATCATTCAGCCTTTTCCCCCTTAGTTTTGTGTTTCTGCAAACCCTCTCGCCTCCTGATACTTCCTTCTTTTGTATGGGCAATGTGGTTTAGCTATATAAGATTTCATGGTCAAGTAATTAATTTGCTAGTAACACCTAATATTTGTACTAATTATTAAGAGTACTATGTATTAAGAGATACCTGGAGCTAATACTAGTAGTATTTTCTCCAGCTAAGAGATCTCTGTAACTTGATAGGATGGAAATAGATTTAATAGCAGAGATTTATGATTCAAAAATCTAATTCAGGTGTATTGGCATTCCTAAGGCAGAGTTCATACATTGTTCATACAGTGTGGCTTATCTAGCTATCCCAAAGGTGCTTTTTCAAGAGGCAACTGGACTTTCCGATTTTTCTTTCACTTCTCATCCAAGAAGCTTCCTCAGTTCTGACTTCAAAGAAAAACTAGAAAGTCCAATTGCCTCTTGAAAAAGCACTTTTGGGACAGCTATGACCTGGATGACTGAGAATGTCCATAGACACTTATTTGGCTGTGGCTTAGCGTTTTTGATTTAACCATGATGGTTTGTAAAAGATGGCTTATAATTCAACCTTGTCTAAACCCAATCAATGTATGAACTCAGACTGTTGGTATAAGAGTGATAAAAATGGCCTAGAATCTGGCACGTTAAATGTATTTCAGTGAGAACTTGATTCAACAAATCTTCATTCAGGTATTAAGCGAACTTGAGCCAGTTGTAACCATTTTCTCAGGCTAATGTACTTCTTGATGCCATTGGGAGAGTGGAAAGAAAGAAAAAATATTTACAATGGAAGCATTATCAAAGTGAGGGATGTGTGTGGTTGTTGCTCTGAAGAATGGGGATCAACTCATTTTTGGGTTGCATGCAAAATAGGTCAGGAGCTCACACAGATATGGAAATTACAGTTCAGTTCTATGATTCAGAAATCCAGCTAGGTAGCATTAGACTCTTGGAAGAATATGATAGGTACGTGTCTTGCTTTGCATATTGTGTTTTGAAATTATTCCACATTGCTGACTTGTTCAATGGGGGAAATGTTCTGGAGTGGACTTGACAGCATTATTGCTGGGGTGGGGGGATATTCCCAGTCTGTAAATCAAGCCCTGAGGTGGCTCAGCTATTGACAGACACCTGCCACCAATATATCTCTTCTAGAGGCTTCCTTTTGAGTATGATTGCTCTCTGGTACTTTAAGCCAGAATTCCACTTTGGGCCACCAGCCAGAGATGCCTGAGAAATGTCTGTAATGAGGAATTATTGTGTGCTATGTCAGAACAGAGGGCATGTGGTTGCCAACTAGTCTGGACAGTAATCCCTCTTCCCATCCCCCTTCCCAACATCTCCTTGTCACGTCCCCATGCACCTGAAGGCTCTGCCTATATCATCAGCTGTGGGACAGCACTGAAAGAATTGAAGCCCATTTGAAAGAAATAGGTTGCTGTGGATCAAATTGGTGAGAGCCAGAACAAGGAAGGGTAGCCATAGTTGGGCTCATGCCTGCCTCACGTCCTTTCTCTCTCCTCTCTCCCTCCCCCTCCCCTTTTCTGTGATTTTGTTTCACCAGAGCTCGATGCAGATAGAGGGGAATGATCTCTCAGCTCCAGCAGATCCTACTCCAGGAGCCAATCTGGATCGAACGGAAGGCAGAGTGAGTGGGGAGCAGTCTGGGGCTCAAAGTCTCCACAGAAAGCTGGGATGTACCAAATCCTTGATGTTGCCAGCGATACGGCCTCACAAGGTAAGGCGTCGGTCATGAGGGGATCCACTGGGATGGCAAGTTTTGGAGGACAAAACGGATGCCTTTGCTCAAAGGGTTCAACAGAACAACGGAGTTGGAAGGGACCTTGTAGGTCTTCTAGTCCAACCCCCTGGTCTGGCAGGAAAGGTTTGCAGAAGGGAAGGGTTAATCTTTATCCAATTGGGGTGAAAGGAGAGATGTGCATGAAGGAGAGGGCAGGACAGCAGTCCCGAGTGCATGTAGGTGTGGAATTTTAAATACTGGAGTTAATAGCCCTATACCTTAAATAGCCACAGCAATAGCACTTAGACTTATATACCACTTCACAGTCCTTTGCAGCCCTCTCTAAGCGGTTTACAGAGCTGGCCTCCAGCAATCCAGGTCCTCATTTTACCCACCTCAGAGGGATGGAAGGCTGAGTCAACCTTGAGCCTAAATATAGTGTACTGCAGAAGAGAGGGAGGGACTGTCTATCAGCCCTTCCAGGTAGACCAGATTAGAAAAACCAAAGTTATGAATGCAATACTACTTTTATTATAACGTTACAATAATAGAATCTTGCAAGCCTGAATATTTTGTCTTCCCTCCCCAACAACACCTTTGCTTTTGTGAGAACTAGGAAAAGTCCTGTTTGAGATACCTACTCAAATTACATTTCTATCCTGCATTTAGGTCTTTTGGGGTTGTGGCTCTTCCTCTTGTTCCTCAAAGCTATTCCTTCTTCCCATTACATTAGCAAAGTCAGTTTGGTAATCACACAGGCACCACTTGACCACTTCCCCCTTTATAAAGTGTTTTCAAAAGGAAGGAAGAAAGCACACTGAGGTGCCATTTATGTTGTGGTTCACCAGCAGCCAGTGCAGACAGCAGTGGAATCGGACAGTGAGGAAGAAAGGGGACCCGTCAGGGAGGTCTGGAGAGGACTCAGACGAGGGTCCTGCATCTGCTGCAGGGATGGGGCCAGGACCATCTGGGAATGGGATGCTGCCTTTGGAGCCTTCACTGGCAGCAGTGAAGCAGAGGACCCAGGGGAGCCTGTTCCCAGTGCGCGTGTGCGCAGAGCTTCTAGAAGGCGAGAGCAGCTGAAACAAAAGGAGCGACTCGGGAGTAAGGCTGGGAAGTGATTGCCCCTCCCATAAGGGATAAAAGTCAGGCCTCAATGATGAAACCTTTGCAGGAAGCAAAGTACTTCGATAGATTCTGAGTCCTCCTTGAAGCTCTATGTAATCTGGTTGTTGTTTTTTCTGGTACTTCGTTTGGTTCCTGTTATAAATAAATTGGATACTTCTGTTTATGGCAGCATTCCACAGCACAGAAAGGTGTTTGCTTATCTTGGGGAACTTTTTAAGATAAGTTCTGGCTGGGAATGTAAGTAATTCCCAGTGTTGCAATAAAATAGGTTTTGCTTTTAAAATAAGTTTGTGTTTAATTACGTTTGACGAAGCCTGGGCCAGAACAGTTTATTAGCTACCTCGCTATTTGCCACTCAGTTTGGTCAACCATTTAGGCCTTGGATTTGGGCCTAAGATTCAGCCTTGGCAGTGCCTACTGGCAGCAGGAAGGGAATGGATATCCAAAATGGTCAGTAAATAATCTTGCTTTTTCTCCGTACAGGGAAACCATCGGCGGAACCATTCCCAATATAGCTTCGATGCCTGGTTAGGAGAATATTCTGTGCCATCACCTACCAATGGTTCCATCACGGACAATGCCGAACTACTGCATGTATGTTACAATTATACAAGGATTATAATGGTTAGGCTCAGTCTGACTAGGGGCAGAGGTGTCCCAGGTTATAGCTGCATCTCATCAAATTAGTCTGCCTTATGGAATACAGGGAGTCCTCGACTTACAATGGTCCGTTTAGTGGCCGTTCAAAGTTACACGGCAGTGAAAATGACTTATGACCGTTTTTCACACTTAAGACCATTTGCAGCATCCTCATGGTTGCATGATCAAAATTCAGGCCCTTGGCAACTGACTCATATTTATGAAGGTTGCCGTATGCTGGAGTCACCTATTTACCTTTTGCTGCCTTCTGACAAGCAAAGTCAATGGGGAAGTCAGATTCTGTTAGCAATCGTGTTACTAACTTAACATCTGCAGTGATATGTGAACAACTGTGGCAAGAAAGGTCGTAAAATGAGGCCATACAAATGTTTCTCTTAGCAACAGAAATTTTGGGCTCAAACGTGATTGTAAGTTGAGGACTACCTGTAGATGTGAAGATATTTGCACTACCATCATATGTTCCTGGGTTGAACGGTATATAAATATCCCCCTTTCCATTCCATGGCAGTACCCTCAGTCACCATTATCTGAAAGGATATTCTCTCTTGCTTAGCTGCAGAGGCCAGCTGTGCCGTGCAGTGGTGGGATGCAAATTTTTTTACTACCGGTTCTGTGGGCATGGCTTGGTGGGCGTGGCGTGGCTTGGTGGGTGTGGCAGGGGAAGGTTTTTGCAAAATCCCCATTCCCTCCCCACCTCACTAACCTGCTTTCCAGCTCCGTTCTCCTGTGCAGAGCAACAAAGAAGACCCAGCCGATCAGCCGGGACTCGGGAGGCAGAGAATAGATGAGGGCAGGGCCAGCCAGAGGTGGTATTTGCTGGTTCTCTGAACAACTCAAAATTTCCACTACTGGTTCTCTAGAACTGGTCAGAACCTGCTGAATACCACCTCTGGTGCCGTGCCAGAGAAGGCCACCCTCTGAGCTTTGGAGTGGGTCCATCCTGCTGCCTCCTTTCTTCATCTGGCTCAGCTGAGGTTGGGAATGTTGCCCAGAGGGAAAATGAGATTTGGAAACCGAAGGGGCAAAGGAGATGGTGAAGAGAATGTAGCAGGATCTAGAGAGTGAAATAAGTAAAAAGAAAATCAAGCCAGAGAAGCTGGCATGGAAAATGGAATCATTGGGGAGGAAATCTCTAGCTGGGACTAGGGTAATGCATTCAGAGGATACATCTGTCCTATTCTTGGTTTTGCCATCTCCACATGTCCTTTTTAGCATGTGTGTACCAATGTGTTTCTTCTCTATCTTCTTTGAAAAAAGATTACATCTCACTACCCCAAATTGTTTTGCTTCTTGCACATTGGGAACCTTACGGTCCTCCAGGCGTCACCAAACTACACATCCTCATTATTGACTGTGTTGATTGGGGCTACTATATGTTGCAGCTCAGCCACGTTAGGAAGTTCCTCTCTCAACTGACCCAGTAGGAGAGCTGGCAGTAGAGTCCTATCTGGAACCAGAGTCTGTAGGAAATAAAGATCTTCAGAGAACTGGGAGTATGTGGAGTGGTGTGGATTCCAGGAAGGACCTACAGGACACAGCTAGGAATGCAAGTGTGTTGACACGGTTTCTTTTGGCAGATGGTGGAGAAATGTGGACAGCTGAACAAGACCAAGATTGCTGAAGGAGGTCGGAAACTCAGGTACTCAGTTAAAGCTTCCCTAGCAGGAGTGGGAGATTGAAGCGGGATACCTTCCTCATTGTCCATATAGGAAGAATCTGGGGCATTTGTGCTTCTCAATCCTCATTTGGCTACTTCTCCAGCTCTGACTGAGGGGCATTTCACAGCTGAAGCAGGGGTGGGATTCAACCGGTTCTCACCTATTCGCTAGAACCGGTTGTTAACATTCTAAGCAGTTCGGAGAACCGGTTGTTAGAATAAATTACTGGTCTAATCCTGTAAGGAAGGCAGGAAGGAAACATTCTGGTGTTGCTTACTGGTCTAATCCTGTAAGGAAGGCAGGAAGGAAACATTCTGGTGTTACTTACAGAAACTGCCTGTCCATTAACCCTTATTACATTCTTGGCAGGACTCGACTTCCTGTCTCAGGAACTTCTCTGGAGTTTTTCCCCCCTCCTTTGCTGGTACTTTGCTTGTGTGGAGTGACCATTCAAAGTTACAATGGCACTGAAAAAAGTGACTTATGACCATTTTTCACACTTACAACTATTGCAGCATCCCCACAGTCATGAGAGGCCAGGCGAGGAGATGCGTGCCTTGATGTGAGTGATGTTGCGTTGGCCACACCCAGCCAGTCACATGGCCACCAAGCCACGCCCACCAACTAAGCCATGCCCACAGAACCAGTTGTTAAAAAATTTTAATCCCACCCCTGAGCTGAAGGGATTTTGAGAAGCGATGTCCTGGCCTGAATAGACAAAGAGGCTGGAAAGGGGCCTTAGTGAATAACGGACCTTCTCAGTCATTGACATAAATCCGGAGGAGTGGAGTGGGGGAGCAAAATAAGGCAGAGCTGAACCTTTTGTAAGGGAGAGAAGGGGAAGCAAATCCGGGGAAATGGGATTATGTCAAAGAAGAGACATGCCCACTTATTCTTGTCAAATGATGTCCGTATGTACAAACGTGAACCAAACTTGGACACAGGTCCATCATTCAACTCTGTGCCAATGAAAGCAAGTTCAGAATAAGTTTGAGCTCAGGGTATTCTCCTCTCAAAAGAAGGCCTTGAAGGAAGAGAGTCAATAGGATGTCTACTACAACAAGAATAAGACAACCTTTATAGTCATTTTTAATGCGTAGCAGAAAGAGGAAACTTAAGTGTTCACAAGGTTGATAGTACTATATGGAACAAAACTCTGACCGAATCTAGATGTTCTGCTTCGGATACCATGAAGCCTTCTCCCAGAAGGTAACAAGGAAAATAGATCATGGAGAGGATGGGTAGCATCCAGGGGTGGGATCTGACAAGGTTAACTACCGGTTTGGTGATTTACGATGTGCTTCCCTGCACGCTGCACGCGTATGTAAATCAGCTTTGCTGCCTGGACAGCTGAGCAGCGCTGCGTTCAGGGAAGCAGCATTTGAAAAAGCACTTATTTCCTGCTTTTTCAACCACAGCTGTGCCTCGCATGGCAGCTGAGGTTGCAAAAGTAGGAAATAAAGGTCAGGTAAGAGCCCGGGTGGGCGGGTGGGCCAAACAGCAGCAGACACAGAACCAGTTCTATGTCTGCTGCTCTTCAGAGCTATTTGTTCTACAGAGCCGGACAGAACCGGTAGAATCCCACCCCTGGTAGCGTCCCTCTGAGAATACTACGGACCCCAGTTCTAATTCCAGTTCATAGTATCCTGTCTCCACCAGCCTATTATTTCATTAGTGATTGTTCAGCAAGAAAGGGGCAGAGTGACATTTCTCATTTATGATATGAAAATTCAGGAAATGTTCTTTTTGAGACCAGAAACCATCAGCAAGATTGCTCTTCCTTGGTGTCTCCTCCAATACTTGGTCACTGACACATCGAGACACGGTCATTTATGAAACTACGGAGGTTATTCCAAGCACAAACAGATCACATGCCTGTATGTGGGAGCATTGATCTTGATACTTCAAGCAGCTTTTGACACTTTTAAACTTGGAAGTCCTGGGGATGTTTTGTTTATGGCTTTGGTGGGCTGGGCTCCAGTTTCTCTTCTTTTCCTCTACCTCCAGAAAATGCTGGGCATCATCGTGGCTGGTATTAGCTGGGAATAGCCTCATGTTCTACAAGGACCCCAAGGTGACAGCTGCATGGGTGAGTGCAGCAGCAGACAGATGCTTAAATGAAAAATCAGGAAAGGCAGCCTAAGGCCTTCTTTGATTGGCTGTTTAACTTTGTACAATCCTCGCAACTAACTTTAAAAATTTTATGTTAGTTCTGGAAAGTCATACATAGCCCCTTTGAGAAATTGTTGGCTGGGGGGAAGAGGGAGAGACTTTTGAATAAAAGGGATGATTTTGCCCATTTGGAGATCTGGTACAGCTTTAGATATGCCCACTGCCAGTATTGTTCAAAGATCGCATTTGTCCGCATGCATTTAGTATGTATATATGTTTTTCTCTGTCTTCTTCTCTCTCCATCTGTCATCCATCCATCCATCCATCCATCCATCCATCCATCCATCCATCCATCCATCCATCCATCCATCCATCTATCTATCTATCTATCTATCTATCTATCTATCTATCTATCTATCTATCTATCTACCTTCTGTTATCTATCTGTCTATCTATCTTGTTATCTATATCTATCTATCTATCTATCTATCTATCTATCTATCTATCTATCTATATCTATCTATCCAGTCATCCATCCATCCCACCACCCACCCACCCACCCACTAACACAAAAGTCTATGTTGCTGTGGTAATCAATAAGGAAGTAATACACATCTCCCTGGTCCTTTCCCAGTTACTTCTGGCAGAGGTCAAGTTTGGCAATGTGTATAGGGAACTTCCTAACCTGTGTCTTTTTTCCCCCTGCAGACTCCATCTGGTAGCCGGCCTGAAAGCAGTGTGGATTTGCGTGGGGCCCGTATTGAGTGGGCCCGGGATTTGTCCAGCAAGCGGAATGTCATCTATGTAAGTGTGGGAACCCCAGCTCATCTAGACCTAAGGTATTTGGAGTGAGACTTCATGCAGCTGATTAGCCTCGATTGTCCCAATATAAGTTTCTCAATTCTTCAGAACTGACTCACAGTGGTCCTGTTTTAAATCAAGATAGTTGGTTAATATACTCTGGTTTCTCTGGCTGTACTTCACTATAATTCCAGGTTCAGTTGTAACACTAAGGTATCCTTTCCTGGTTTGTTCACCTGCCCATAAGTAAAGGAACATAGCAGGAACAAGGGATTACATGAAGCTGTTGTCATAATTATTTAAAATTAAATTAGGATTCCTGCTATAGTCTTAGCTGGTGAGGATCAATTAGAGGAGCGTGAGATTACGTTAAGTGAAATTGTTGTCTCATCCAATTTGTTCTCTCCTCTTTTCTTCTTAGTTTCGCACTGTGACTGGCAATGAGTATCTCTTGCAATCAGATAATGAAACTGTGAGCCAGGACTGGTACCAGGCAATCAAAGGGGTCATCCACAGACTAGTGAGTGAAAGTTATCTCAGTCGTTTCCTTTCTTCTTTGAAATATTGATATAGAATAAAAAGCTGTTCCTAAATTCTTTCACTCCGTCCGGGATGGGGATTGCTACCCAGCTAACTTTGCCCAAATGGCAAGCAGCCTGGAGCCTTCTAGACTAAAATCTCCTCTGGTTTTTGCCTGTGGGTGGGTGGGTGTCTTCAAGTCAGTTTTGACTCTTGATGAATGCACAGACAATATTATATAGGTGTTTTTTGGGGCAACCTAGAGTTCAGGGAGAGTGACTGACCCAAGTTCACCTAGGCTGGCTTGCTGGGTTACAACTCACACGCTCCCAGTTTTAGTCTTGTGTCTTAACAACTACACCAAACTGGTTTGGAAACTCCCATCATACCTTATAATTGTTTGTGCTTTAATTGGTGTTAATGGGCATCAAAGTCCCCCATGTTTATACAATGCTAGGTTGCCAACCCTTCCTCTACAAAGTTTAGAGCTACTCCCAAGGAAGACAGAAGGTCTTTGTTTCGGGTTTAGAACATGCTTGAACTCATTATGTCTTCAGTGAGAACCTATTGCCCCAGAAAGCAAATTCTGTTGGGGGGAGGGCACAACAATCATTCTTTGTCTCTGTCAGTCAGTCACTCACTCTCTCCCCTCTTGTTTCTGGTCTTGTTAAAAGTATTCAACTGATTTTGATGAGAGCTCACAATGAGTGGAATGGTGTTCAGTGCTGTGCACAGCCGCTTCTCTCCCCCACACCCACCTCCATATAGATCTGGAGCTCTTGATCAGGGATGGAATCTCATTGACTTGGGTGTGATACATCCCTGGGGGACTCTCCTGGAACACTGAGAAAGTGGGATTAACGTTGAAGATGAAGCATTAATTCTTCCTTAAGGCTTCCAGCTTATCACACATAATTGGACCGATATGTTTAGGATTTCATAATGACGTGCCATTGTGATAAACCCAGGGCAGAAGAGGGAGAGAAGTCCTTTGGGGTTATCTGGTGGTACACATGAAGAACTACAAAATCAATAAAGGACAGACCACAAAAAGGACTCTGTGCACAGTTTGTCCTTTATTGAGCTTGTAGTTCTTCATGCGTACCATCCAATGATCTCTCTCTCTCTCTCTCTCTCTCTCTCTCTCTCTTTTCTCTCTTCCTCTATTTTCATTCCTATTCTCTCTCTTTCATTCTCTCTCACATTCTCTCTTATTCTCTCACTCTTCTCTCTCTTTCATTCTCTCTTTTATTCTCTCTCTCCCCTCTCTCTTTCATTCTCTCTCACATTCTCTCTTTTATTCTCTTTCTCTTTTATTCTCTCTCTCTCTCTCTGTCTCTCTCTGTCTCTCTCTCGCTCTCACACACACACACACCCCATGGGTTTATCACAGAGGCACATGTCATAATGAAATCCTAAGTGTATCAATCCAAGGTTGTAGGTCTTTGAAACAGAACCCTTTTGTAGTTCATGGCAACGCATTTCCCCATTTTGCTCCTTCCTATCTGGCTGCTCATTTCTCTGGATTAAGCTCACTCCTTGTTCCACTGCAGGATCAAGAGAACCCTCTGGATGAGCCGCTTCTGTACCCACTCTATCGGTCAAACAGTGCTGAGCTTGTGGATTTGAGCTGGGATGATGAAGACGAACTTGGGGTCTCCAAGGGTGAAGTGCAAGCAGGTTTGAGACCAGCAGATCCAGGGTGGGGGTGTGGGGGTGCTAATATCTGCCAAAAGTAGGGCTATTGCATCTTATTTGTGAATGACGGGATTGCAGCTGCCTTAACTTCTTCTCTTGGCTTCTGTTCCTTACTCCTCTAGCCCCCGGGAGTCCTGGCAGAGTCTACAAGAAAAGGGTCAAAAGCAAGCTGAGACGCTTCATTGCCAAGAGGCCACCCCTGCGAAGTTTACAGGAGAAAGGACTGATCCGAGGTAATGATGTAAATTTGTGTGTGTGTGTGTGTGTATGTATATGTGTATGTATGTATATGTGATTTTTCTGAACAAACAAGGATGAGCACTATGACTTCTAATACATTTGTCACCTTTAATGAAAAATTATCACCAGACTCTTCCTTCCTCCCTATATATCTAGCCCCCCCAAAATATTGATGCATGAATTTATTTTTAAAGTTAGTGTGCTTTATAGCAATAGCACTTAGACCAAGGGCCTTCAAACTTGGCAAGTTTAAGACTTGTGGACTTCAACTCCCAGAATTCCTGAACTAACATGATTGCAGGAGGAATTCTGGGAATTGAAGTCCACAAGTCTTAAAGCTGTCAAGTTTGAAGACCCCTGACTTAGACTTATATATATATATATATATCGCTTCACAGTGCTTTACAGCCCTCTCTAAGCGGTTTACAGAGACAGACAGTATATTGCCCTCCCCTCCCCCCAAAATCTGGGTCTTCATTTTACTGACCTCGGAAGGATGGAAAACTGAAAGTGTTGCACCAGAAATGAGGAAAACCTGCCTCTTACCCATCCTGAGCCACAGAAGTTCACACACCGCCCTCCAAGTCTGGAAGTCTGGCCTTCCTCACAGGTTGTTGTGGGGAAACATTGGCCTTATCCTTAGATATTTATTTATTTTGCATGCTGCCAACTCTCAACAGCTCTGGTTACGCTGGGTACAAGAACTAGACTATAATAAGAGACAAAATAAAAGAATAAAAATGGAAAAGATGAAAAAAACCAGTCAGGAGTGAAAGAAAAATGACCTCAAACTATCCAAGAGGAGTTCATTTACCCTCACCAAAGGCCTAGTGAAGACCCAGATCTTCAAAACCCTTTGAAACATCAGCAGAATCAGGTTCATCCAGATCTCAAGACAAATTTAAGTTTTTTCTTGTTTCTGTGTTCCTGGATCAAATCGCTTATTGCTAAAACTCACAAATCTGAGTTTAAAAATCTGAGGGGCCATTGTTTTTTTGTGGCTGAGGGAAACAAGTGGCATAGTTTTTTTTTTTTACAGTTTTTATTTAACTATGGGGTTTAAAGCAAAATAAATAGATCTATCAAGGAAAGGTTTAATAAGTTGATTTTAGTCCATGGATATGTGTGTATAGATACGGTCAAAAATCTGGTTTACTTTAGCACCATGATCTTGTGATACTCTTGGCCATGGCTCTCCAACCTTAGCAACTTTAAGCCTGGGGGACTTCAACTCCCAGAATTCCCCAGCTGACTGGGGAATTCTGGGAGTTGAAGTCCCCCAGGCTTAAAGTTGCCAAGGTTGGAGACCCCTGTTCTAGGCTCTATAAAAATAGGGGTTGGAGTGTACAAATTGCTCATCTATATTTATTTCTTGGCTGAGAGATAATTGTAGCCTCTCTAAAACAAAATATCTGCAATTGCTTTACCGTTTCCATTTCTATTCCCAGATCAAGTCTTTGGCTGTCGGCTAGAAGCCCTGTGCCAGCGAGAAGGGGGCACAGTACCCCAATTTGTACAACAATGTGTGGAAGCTGTGGAACAGAGAGGTAGGCTATCCCTGGGTCACTACTCCAGCTCTGTCTCAGCTAGGATCTTCCTCCTAGTTCTGGGAGATGTGGGGGATTCACAGCAGTTCTGTCCTTCTCTTTCAGGATTGGATGCAGATGGACTCTATAGGGTCAATGGGAACTTGGCCATTATTCAGAAGCTGAGATTCATAGTTGACCATGGTGAGTACTTATAGAATGATAAATGGTGAACATGGAGTTGTGGGAGGGACGTCTAATCCTCCAGAATCATTCATCTACCACCATGTTGCTTTATTTTAGATGAAAAGAGATAAAGTGTTTCAAGGCTAGTGGGTTTGTTGAAAATGCTATGACAGCAGTTAACATCATATAATATGTACTTCTTTTTCTAACCTTAAAGGTAGAAAACATTTATTGGCTACCCTTATTACATTACAGTAACTACTGTACTGTCCTCATGTTGTCCTCATGCTTTTTTCTTCTTCTTTTTTGTTTGCAGTGTTTCTCAACCTCACCAGGTTGAGAATATATGTATATATATATATGAAAACATATATATATATTCATATTCTTAAGTTTTCACGGGTACTTACATATATAGCATTCAGCTTTGTTCGGGTATTTTCCCACGTCATTGTAGTTGTGCTACAACTTTAAAAGCACAACTACAATGACGTGGGAAAAAACCCGAAAAAAGCTGAATGCCATATATATAATCTCTTGAAGAATGGTTAACAAGACATCTTTGAGGTAAAATGAGAAATGTTGTTCCTCTGGTCAGCCTTGCCGTCATCTATAATTTTCAATATATGTATTTCCTCATTTTACCTCAAAGATGCCTTGCTAACCATTCTTCAAGGACATATCCATGTGACATAATCTTCTTCTCACCCCTAACCCTTTGATGAGGTCAGCTACTTTGGGGGTTTCATGATCTAATGTGGAAGTAATTATCTTCCATGTCAGAGAGGTCGAGATTTACAGCATTCTCCACCTATCCCAATTCTGCTTGAGTGACAGCAGGTAGTCAGAACTATGCCAGTTGCTACAGCTACATAAAGTTTGCTAGACAATGCAGAAGATCTTAAACCCCTCTAAAAAATGGATCAAAATTCTGTTTACCAGAGCTGAAAGCAGGATAGAAAACAAATGACAAGGTGAAAATGGTTGGGTTCCTACACTACAGGGGAAAAAAAACCCCAATAAACAAGCCATCTTAGGTTTCAGCACTCCATAAACTCATCCAGAATGTATGGACACATTCTGGCTACTGTCAAACCTGACTTCATCCTTTGCTACAAGATATTGTTTCTCCTGTGGCATCCTCAGTAACCATTGTGCTGCTTTGCAGAACGGGCAGTGACATCCGATGGCCGGTATGTCTTCCCAGAGCAACGTTGCCAAGGTAATGTTTCTGTCCCTCAATCTTTGAAATAGCAACCCTGGTTACCCAGAAGCCATGGAAAAAGCTGGGGATTTTAATGAAACCAAGTTAGGTTTTGAATGTTGGGTACAAATTCTGAATTCTTAAAGTCTCCTTCAAAGGGAATAATTTTAAAAAATGCTACAATCCCCAAAGGACTTTCTGTTCCTTTTAAGGATAAAAACCCAAACCAATGGGGGTGGGGGAGAGAGAGAGAGAGAGAGAGAGAAAGAGAGAGAGAGTATAAGAGAGAGAATGAGAGAGAGAGGAGAGAGAGAAAGAATGAGAGAGAGAGGAGAGGAGAGAATGAGGAAGAGAGAAAGAGAGAGAAAGGGAATCCAATGTTTGTGTCAGGCAGTCTTATGTTTAGTCTGAAAGTTTCAGGATCCACTGATCCACTGAGACAAGCATACTATTTTTTAATAAGAGTTCCAGTTACATAAAAGGAATCCTGGAACACAGAAATATATGGGGAAAAATTATGTGGCGAAAGTGAAGTATTGAAAATGTAAATATATCTTATGCTTATAATGCATTGCGTTGTTTGATTTGTAACGAATTATATCTGTTGATGGTTATTAACTGTTCAGCATCTTTGTATAAGATGAGCAGCCATATTCATGTGGTAAAATAAATATTTATCTTTGGACTTAGACGGTCCTTCTTTTAATTTATGGGTCACAGTAGCCTCTCGTGACTCAAGTTGGATTTGTTGTCTTAGCTACAATTAAGCTGCTTTGATTCCAGAGAGAGAGAAAGGGAAATCTGAGTTTACCAAATGTCTTCTCCTCTTCTGCCCCAGTCTCTGCAGTTTCTTTCAGCTGCCCCAGGAAAAGGGACATTGGCTGTATCAGCTAGAGCAGTGGTGAGAATATTGCCTTTGGAGTTCTGTCAGGAAAAGAAGCGGGGTGGCCTTTCAAGGACTTACTATCAATACATGCAGAGCTTTTCACATATGTGTTGGCGACTCCTACAGTGGCCTAGAAACTGTCTCACTAAAGAAACCACTCATTGGGCAGCTGTTGGATTATACCCCAAATGTCTTTCATTGAAACTAATGGGTTCACAAATGTGTAACAGTATAAGGCAGCCAGATACAAATGATTACCGATGAGTTGGCCGTGGTGAGTTGATCGTGGTGGGTTGGCCATGGCAAGTTGTCCCATTCCATTTGATTAGGGTTTATACTTCAGCCCCTTAATATGTTTGGTGATTCTAATCAACAAAACAGAAAGATGTTACATTGAAAAAGGTCCCCTTTGATATGACTCTGTCCTTTTTGGTGAATCAGTCTTTTTCCCAAGGGTGCTTTTTTCAAGAGGCAACTGGACTTCCTGGTTTTTCTTTGAAGATGTTTCGCTTCTCCTCCAAGAAGCTTCTTCAGCTCTGACTAGATAGTGGGGAATGGAAGGATTTATACTCCTTGCAGACAGCTGGTCATTTGCATCCTTTTAGAGGGTCACTGAAGTCTTTTTCTTCTTTGTTCCCTAGAGGAGAAGTTGAACCTGGCCAGTCCTCAGTGGGATGATGTGCATGTGATAACAGGGGCCCTGAAGCTTTTCTTCCGAGAGTTACCTGAGTCCCTTGTGCCCTACAGCTACGTTGATGAATGTATAGCGTCTGTCAGTAAGTCGTCTTCTTACTTCTTACTCTTCTGAATTGACAAACACAAATATATGATTCCAGAAGAGGTTAATTCTGAGCCCAGGATTAAAAACCTGTGACTTTTCTGTAATATTGCAACTCATTTTTAGAAAAGGTGCTATATAAAATGAAATTGTCTATCTTGGTTTTCCCTGGAAGGGCGGGCGGCATGGGAAAACATCTCAGACTTTCCTAATACCAATTCTCCAATCTGAGATGTACTTCAAATTATCTGCAGGTATATTATTATTATTTTGCTTTAGGAACATAATATATCATTCGATGCAGAAGACCTAAAATTACTGCCTTATTTTAAGTTGCGCCCAAATGTCATGTTGCTTAGAGGAGCTGGGGAATCTTAAAATCCTAATGATCAGTGTGAAAAATACTTTTTTTTTTCTTGCTCTCCATCATTTTTCAAATTCTATTCTGTTCCTGGAACTTTCAGCATAATTCAGTTAAAACTCTCATTGCTTAGTATTTGAGACATCATTCAAGGCAGGTATACTCATGCCAGCTCTCAAACCGGCTTTTTAGTGGATCTGAAGATGGTTTTGTTTGTGTTCCTTTAGCTTCTGTAGTCATGCATCCTGCCATGACGGGGCATGAAACAGTTTTCTCTACTTATTCCTTATCACTCATAATAATTCGCTATTTGTTTGAGCCATTGGCCTCAAGTCCACCTTTTTTATGATTAAGGTGGGGTGGTAAGACTGTTGAATCAACAATCCTATTGTCAACTTCGAATCGAACCTGGCAGCAGCCATCTTTCAGTTCCTCGATTGCCACACACAGGGGGAAGCAGGGAAGGAGGTTGGAATGCCTTACTAGACAAAACAGAGAATTTCTCTTGAGAATCAAGGTCATCTCTACTGGCAACGGATAAGGTCAGGGAAGGAGTGCCTGGAGAGCTGGCCAATTAACCCAATTGGCCAACGAGACCTGTGACACTTGCGGGTGGGATTATCTCCTATTTTAATTATACTGAAACCGTGGGAAAGATTTAGAGTTGGTATTCCTTTAGAGCTGTGCCGATATGATGTACTCAATAAAGAAGACCTTTGAGGAGGATTCAAGTCTTAGGGTTCTGATTTGCTCGGGTTCATTAGTCGGAGCGTTGACACCTTTCATCCCAATTACAATTTATTTTCTTCCCCAAAATGTGCTCCAGATGTAATTCTGATAACAACACTGAAGATTTCTGACCTGCCCTTTGGAAGCTAGAATGTCTTTTGTTGCCTTCTCAGCTGAAACCAACCCCATCTTTTTGCTTTCCTCTGCACAGAGTTGTCCGATCACAAGGAAAAAGTGTCAAAGCTTTCTGGGCTGATCCAGTCTCTCCCTCAACCAAACCGGGACACCCTGCATTACTTACTTCAGCACCTCCGCAGGTAAATTACTCACCTCGAGTTTGTCCATTAATACTTTCTTCCTGGCAGAATCTAGGCTTTTGTTACAGGTAGTCCTCGACGTATAACCACCATTGAGCCCAAAATTTTGGTTGCTAAGTGAAACAAATGAATCTAGCCCCATTTTATGACATTTTGTGACGCAGTTATTTAAGAGAATCACTGCAGCTGTTAAAATTAGTAACCCTATTGTTAAATGAATCTGGTTTCCCCATTGACTTTGCCTGTCAGAAGGTCACAAATGGTGATCACATGACCCTGGCACACTACTACTGTCATAAATATAAGTCATTTGAATTTTGATCACATGACCATGGGAATGCTGCAATGGTCAGAAGTGTGAAATTGGTCCTAAGTCACTTTTTTCAATGCTGTTGTAAATTCGAACAGTCACTAAATGAACTGTTGTAAGTCAAGGACTTAGCCCCCCCCCTTTTTTTATTGCAAAGCAAACAAAATCACTAGTCAGAAAAAAATAGCAAAAGGAAACTAATACTTAAACTTCTCTTTCAAAGGTAGGAAGCAAAGCCAATGAATTGAAGAGCAATTAATCACTTATATCACTGAATAAGAAGCAATAAAAAGAATCTACTAATTAAAAGTAGACTTTCCTGGCAATTACATTTTCTTATGCATATTTTAACGCTGGAGGCTAAAATTGAAAATTCAGCCTGGGATCAGCATTTTAAAAGAAAATTTGTTTATTCACACTTACAAATTTTCCTGCAACTGAGTACAGATAGTTCTTGACTTAGAACCATTTAATGACCGTTCAAAATTACAACGGCACTGAAAAAGTGAGTTGCGACTGATTTTTACACTCATGACTGTGTTAGCATCCCTGTGGTCATGTGATCAAAATTCAGATGTTTGGCAACTGGCTCATAATTGCAGTGTCTTGAGATCACGTGATCACCTCTTGTGGGTTTTTTTGACTGTCAATGGGAAAGCCTGATTCACTCAACAATTCACTTTAACTTAACAACTGTAGTGATTCACTTAACAACTGTGGCAAGAAAAGTTGTTAAATGAGGCAAAATTCACGCAACGTTTTTCTTGCTTAACAACACAAAAATTGAGCTCAATTGTGGCCGTAAGTCAAGGACCACCTCTACAGCACTATTATTCTATAGCTGAGCACATTCTCAGTCCAATAATGATATTCTATGGCTGAGCACTGTAAGTACCAGTGGTTTTGCTGTTGCAACAGGTATTTCATTGCCAGCTAAAAAACATATAAAGAATGGTTGCTGGAGTTGGGTATGTCTACCTTGATTAAAAGGACTCAGGGTGACATGATAGCAGTGTTCCAATATCTCAAGGGCTGCCCCAAAGAAGAGGGAGTCAAGCTATTCCCCAAAGCACCTGAGGGCAGGACAAGAAGCAATGGGTGGAAACTAATCAAGGAGAGAAGCAATCTAAAACTAAGGAGAAATTTCCTGACAGAACAATTAATCAGTGGAACGACTTGCCTCCAGAAGTTGTGAATGCTCCAACACTGGAAGTTTTTAAGAAGAGATTGGATAACCATTGGTCTGAAATGGTGTAGGGTTTCCTGCCGAGGCAGGGGGTTGGACTAGAAGACTTCAAAGGTCCCTTCCAACTCTGTTATTCTATTCTGATCTGTTCTGTTCTGTTCTGTTCTACGCTACTCTACTCTACTCTACTCTACTCTACTCTACTCTACTCTACTCTACTCTACTCTACTCTTATTAAGTTCTTGAAAGACCTGTACACTTTACATAGTGCCACTGATCTTGAGCACCATTTACAGAAGTGGTTCCAGGCAGTCCCATCTCCTCCTAACCTCAGTTGCAATGGATTTCCCAACTTCATATAGAATCATGAGACTCTGAAAATCTGGCAGACAAGCCGAGTTGAATATGTGGATTAACATCTCTTGGAAATGAGGCGATGTATCAGATGTGGTCTAGAACCTCATATTTTGCCTCCTGAAAGAGAACTTAAATGGAAAACATTGCCTTACGTGGATGGTTGAGCAACTGGTTGTAAATTTGATCCTGGAGCTAACTTTGGGAATATGGAAATAGAAATTCAGGATATCCAAAAGTTGCTTTGTAGAAGTGATTCCATACACTTTGTATTCTCTTTCTCTTATGATTTGTTGCCCTGACTGATTGTGTCTTTGATTATTTTGTTATTTAGGCAATCAAATTGATTACAGATCGATGAAAGTGATTTTCACCATGTTTTGTTTTAGAAATGAAATTTCAAACCTACCTGTCTGCTTTAGCAATGGATACATTGAACGGGACCAAAATACTATGATGTTCTCATTATAGCTTTTTTTTCCCCCATTCAGAGTGATGGATCACTCAGATATCAACCGGATGACAACTCAGAACATTGGCATTGTTTTTGGGCCAACGCTGTTGCGACATGAGCGAGATGTAGCCAGCCTGATAGAGGACATGGTGTACCAGAATCAGGTGGTAGAGTTGCTTCTTACCGAATTTACTAGTATCTTCGGGACAGATGCCGAATGATTTTGTTGATACTTCTTCTTTTTGAATATGGATTACTTTATTCTCAAGACATATGGGATCACAATGTTTTTTGAAGCAAGCATTGGTACTGTGAAACTCTCTGCATCAATCACAGCAGCATAAGTTACCATCCTCTTTGGAAAAGATATTATCTCTGCATCCTCCTTCTCCGAGATATTTTTTTTAAGTTGCTCATTTTTTTTTAATCTGGTATACCTTAGCAAAATGATGTCATATTCATACTCAATAAACCACTGGTGAGAATCTAAAAGAGAAATTATATGACTGAAAGTGCTTTGACTTTAAACAGTGAGCAAGACCTGTTTAGATGGATTCCAATCCAGACAAATCTATAAAGAATAGAACACTTTTATCCCTCAATTATTGGGCATTCTATGTTGGAGGGGAAAGACTCTCACCAGATGAACTGATATCATGCCAACAGCCTAGTCCCCTAGGTCTCCTGTCTGATGTCACGGTGCCAAATAGCCTCTGTACTCTTGAAAGCATAATTCTTCAGGATTACTTTCCCCAACTGCCCATCAGATGTGTTGGACTACAAATCCCATGCACAGGCAAAATCTTTTTAAGGAGATGCCTTCTAAGTCATTATTAGGGCATATAGGTTCCCCCCGAATAAAATTGAAACCCTTTCAAATTGCTATTGGGGTTTATTTGTTTTTGCCAAATAACTTGGGAAACATCAAAAGTAATGTTTGAATATTATTATCAAAAACCCTGTTCCTTTATAAAATTATGTTTTAGACCTGGTTTGAAAAGAAATAAATATGACTGAATTTTCCGGCTCACCCCACATGTGACTTGTTTCTCAGATTTGTGGCCAAGGAAAGTGTTCAGTAATAAAAATATTGCCAGCAAAAAGATGTTTCGATTGAGATTAATGAAAGAGGCTAGAATTAATGTGTTTGTTTCTCTCCTTACTGAAAATTTGGAAAGGAAATGGGAATAATAGAATTAAGTATGCCTATATGAATGTAGAATTGCTGTCATATTTGTATGTAAAGGTGATGACCTGGAAATATGTTGTCCACTAAAAAGAGATTTAATGTGAAAAACTGAATAAAATTTGTTAAAAAAAAATATTGCCAGGTGATCCATTTCTTCTGTATTGTTTGTGGCTGAACTTCGCCTTTAAGGGATCTCATTTATCTTTTAGATGTAAATTGGGATGAATTAGGGAAAATTCGCTGGTGTTTTTTTTCTAGCAGATCTTTCATGCCCTTAACAATTTTATGAATGTCCAAACAAGAAGAAGTGTTTCTCCATCTGTTCACAAAAACTGTTTAATTCTTGCCAGCCGTTTAGCTGTTAATTGATGGGTACCATCAATTTATCCTCAAGAATCGAACACAATTAAGTGGGGAAAAGTAACAAAACAAACATATTCCCTCGCAACCTGAATTTCATGCATAACCTTCTTCAGTTTTCCCAAATCATCGCATCTCTCCATCTTAGACAATCAACCTTGAAAAATCTGACTTGGGTTAGAACCGAGCTCAAAAAAATTCATTACAGGAGTTCCATAATTTACACCAGTGTTTTTCAGCCTTGGCAATTTTAAGATATGGGGACTCCCAGAATTCCTCAGCCAGCGAAAGTTGAGACTGATCAACCTAAATTAATTAAATGAGGAAATCGTTAGCCTTAAGGGGAAAGGTTTCTTTCTTTTTTTTAACTGACGGTTTCACCTATGGCTCTGAAAAGACTGATTTGACCACTTAGCATGTTTTCAGCTTTACATGTAAATCTTCTTGATCATAATTCAGTTGTACAAGCTTCTTAGGAAGCATGACCAACTGCCCACATCTTAACAAATACACCATTGGAGCAAGGGGGAAACTGGCCAAACTACAGATGCAGGATTTTTTCCACATTTTTCTCAGTGCTTTAAAGAGGTCTCTCATCAGCAGCTTCCTTAAGCCATTCTTGGCCATTGTGATGTATTCAGGACAAAAACAGTGTATATATGGATGGGTTACATTTGCCCTGAACTACTATGGCGGTTCACTCAGTGCTTTCACAGTAAGCATATAATCCATTTACTCCTCCAAACAAGGCTAGGAAACCCATAATGGCTGGGTGATGAAAGACCCAGCCAGTCAATAACCTGAAAATCTGGTTCTGATTTTTACTAGAAATTTGTATAGTGCTGATTAGCTGGTTTTTGTGTCAATGAGAAGTTGATATGTACAACAATGTAATGTGCAGTTGGTTGTGATGCTATGAGGGGAAATTATTTTGATTCTTCGATAAAAAGGATCACTGGGTGTGACTCAAATCAATATAACTATCAGATTCATATCTGATATCTCATTAGAAAAATGCTACAGCTGTAAGCTACACTGGAAAATCCAAAGACCATTCTTAAAGAAAGCAACGACAAACCACTTCTATACCTTGGCCCAGAAAAGATTGCAATAATTTGTCTGATAAGTGCTAGAAATAGGTTGTCCCTTTTCTTCTCATTGGATTCTTGGCTTGTTTCCTTCCATTGAAATTATGGTGAAAATTGCCTGTGGACTGGTACTTCCCTTCCATGGCCTTAGAGAAAAGTGAAGTTTGGGGGCCAAAGAAGCCATTCATCAAAATGAAGGCTTAGTTGATGACCCTCCGTGGCTTGAGTGGCTTTTAAATAAATGAACAACATAGCTTTGCTTTCATTTTTTTTCCTGAGGAAATGTTTTATTAAACCTTTTATTGGTGCTTTTTTTCTCTAAAAAAAGAAGGTGAGAGAGAAAAGATTTATAGGTAAAAAATATCCGCACACATATATACTATGTACAAATTATCAAAATACATGTCATCGTGATACACCTAGAATTTGTTCCCCTGCTTTAATACTTCCCTTCACCCCTTCCCTAGATGATAATCACCAGGGAGAGACAGGCACTGGTTTGGCTTCTAGGCTAAAGTATAAACAGAAAGATACAAAAGGAAAGCTAAAACAGAGGCAAGGTATATTCTTTGGTTTCTTAGGCTGAGTTTTATAGTTTTGCTATGAGGAAAATGCTGAGGTGAGGGGCATCAAGGAAAAGGGCATAGGTGGAATTATGAGAGAAGATGTTGCCTCAATGGGAGAGGCATAACTGAGTGAATCAGCCCCTGACGTTTCATCCAGGTCTCCTGTCTGAAGCCCTGAAGAGCTCCCAACAGCACAGGGACAATTCTGAGCCAGGCAGTCCAAGGTTCAGCTTTGGTACAAAATAGCTTGATGTGTTCTGCTGAGGATGTTTTAAAGGGTAACCCCTATCTTTTACTTGGAAACAAGCAGACAGCAGGAATGTAAGGATACAGGCAGGCAGTGCGGTTGCGAGAACTGACGACAGCTTGAAAACAAATGTATTATTGGCTTTCATTTATATATTCACTTTTTCCCATTACTTGTGTGTGGTTTCTTTCTTTCTCTGTCACTTTAGTTCAACAGATTTTTGGAATATTACTAAAAAAAAAAAACCCTCCAAGGCTAATTAAGCAGAGTAGATAGGAGGGGTGAGCTTATACGCACCAGACAATGAGATTCCCCATTAAACTTTTAAAGTTATGATTCTGCTTCCCTACCACCTGCCTCAATACACTTCGCTCTGCCCTATCTGCTTATATATGGGGGAAAAACCAGGAGGGCAAGAACATAAGTTTGCTGACAGACCCATAATAAACTTCAAAATTATGTTCTTGGCTCTCGTGTAGCTTTACTTCTCTGGGCAGTTGCAAGCAGAGAATAGGCTGGGTAAGTCTCATCTGACCTAACATAAATTCATATATGAAGAGTTTGAAGTGCTTTTCAAGTGCTTCAGATTTGAAGTTATCAACATGCAACTAAAAGACTTTTGTAGAAGAAGCAGTAGGGAGAGTTTCCTTTTCACAACACCAGGAGTTGCCTTTCTCCAAAGTTTCTTTCAGACTGGGAAGGTGGATGTGGAGAAAACTGATGGGATGAACTGGGACTTTAAAAGCATTGGGCCGGTTGTTCTCCAGTGTACAGCTGGAAACACTACCTTGAATCGTGGTGACGCAGTGGTTAGAATGCAGTATTGCAGGCTAATTCTGCCGACTGCCTTTATGGTCTGAGAGGATATGTGCTGCAATGTTACTTCTACAACCTCTAAGCCAGTTTATTTTAGTTTTATTTAAAGTATGGCAAAAATATTAAAAAGCATATCAAAGTTATATTTTCAATCAGCAAATATGAAACTATTGACTCTGTCTACAAATTCAAAGGTAGGCTGTTTACTATAGTCAGTACATCATGGAGTTGCATACTGAATGTCTCTGGGGATTCCCTGATATGAGAGCTGAGGTGGCACAGTGGTTAAAATGCAGAATTGCAGCTAATTCTACCCACAGCCTGGAGTTTGATTCTGTCCGCTAAAGGTTGACTCAGCCTTCCATCCTTCCGAGGTGGGTAAAATGAGGGCCCAGATTGTTGAGGGCAATACACTGACTCTGTAAACTGCTTAGAGAGGGTTGTAAAGCACTGTGAAGCGGTGTATAAGTCTAAGTGCTATTGCTATCTTCAACACAGTATTTGGATATTCCTTATTGCAATGATTTGTTCAGTTTCTCTTTCATGGATTTCAAATTAAGGGACTAATCATGACAACCTAGCATAGCCCTTGTTGCCAAATTTCTACTTTCAGCAGCCTCATGGATGGGATATCTATGTGAATTGATTTTTAAGTATGTATAAAGCTGTGGCTTGCGTACATGATCAGGTAATTACAGCTTTAAGTCCAAGAGCTCAGAAATGGCTTCAAACACAATGAAGTGCTGTGGTACCACTTGAGGTTGAAATCATAAAAAGTATTATGAAATCCAGTGGTGCATATGCTTGTGTCAACCAGCCCTAGCTCATTTGGGATCAAGAGGAATTTACCTGTAGGCTGGATTAATGAGTGAACTGCGTGCTGGCTGTTTATTTTCTCTTACCAATTAATCTGAATGTACAAGAAGATTCTTTTGTTCCATAGGCATTTTACTTTTAACGTGCCAATTTGTCCAACTTTCCATTTAGCCTTCTGCAACGGATATGAGTTTATTTGTGGCAAGTGGTGGGTAAGCTTGTGGTTTCCCTTTTTGCCTAGTTTTCTCATTGTTCCCCAATATGTGGCATTACAAATCTTTTCACACTGAAAGGGAACTACAGCAATATCCAGTTCCTTGAGAAATGTATCTGC